GCAGGAAGGCATTTTTAGGCTGTTATAAAATTCATTCTTTTATTTTTTTTTTCCTTTACCTTGGTGCCTTCTGTTGCCAAGTGCCTGTGGATGCACCTCAGTGGTCTGTAAAAACTAAAAAATTCAAAAGGGCTGTGCGTTCAGCAGAAAACCTCTCAAGTGCCCTTCAGTAAAAATTGGGAAGAGAAGGTTGCTGTTCGATCCCTTTTTCAAGAGAGAGGAAAAAGCAGAATATTGAGAAATACACTCGTGAGATGGTAATTTTTATAAAGAAGCGAAGGAGGACAGAAGACCAGCATTTTTTTTAAAGGCTCAGAAATTTTTAATACTTGGATTTTGCATTTTCCCACTATGTTTTGTATGAACTAAAGACCAGAGGAGCGCTCACTGTCAGCCAAATCTTGCTGACCACTGTGTCCCTCCTACTCTTAATTCAAATTGTCAGATTAATCTCTTCCTTCTCCTTCTGGATCCCTTGAGGGCCTTCATCATTCCTAAATATTATACAGTGGTGTGGAAGTAAAGTTTATTTTTGTACAATAAAATATTTTATCATGACTGAGGTCGCAGACACTTTCTTAACCCAACGCTACTTAATCCCTGCTTTATAACGGGGCACGTTGGCTTTTTGGGGAATTATTTTGGCTTTTTTTTTTTTCCCTTGGAGGTGAATGTGCCCAATCAAAATGGCCAGATCAAGATTCAGATCAAATTAAGGTGGATTCTTTTTCCACCAGGATTGTTTTGGGGTTTTTTTCCTTTTCTGCACACATTCCTGAGTCAAACAGGAGGTCTTGGAATGCCAAGAAACTCTGGATTCTTTGGCTTGTGGGTTTGAGCTGAGTGGGGGCCGTGGTGGGAAGGCCAAACAGGAGGTCTTGGAATGCCAAGAAACTCTGGATTCTTTGGCTTGTGGGTTTGAGCTGAGTGGGGGCCGTGGTGGGAAGGCTTTAGGAGGACAGAGAGCACCCATGTCATCGGGAACTTGGGTTTGTTGGGTGCAGAGAGGCTGGGGAATCATCTACCTTTGGCTGAGAGAACCACCCACCACCTGAGAGCAGCTTTTACACCTACAGAAGGCGTCGCTGTATGTACAGGAGGAGGGTGAGGGCTTTGAGCTACACCTCTCCCATGAAGATTTATCGTAGGAGATACTGGGGACTATTTCTTGGCAAGATTTGCGGTGGTTTTCCTCCCTGTTTTGGTATCGTTGTCATTATAAATAGGTTTAAAAGCTTCTTTTGCCTACCAGCCACTGCGATGAGGTAGGAGGCATCCATGCTGCTGATGCCCAACGTCCTGGCTCTTGCCACCAGGTGGAACATGGGCACGAAATAGGCCAAGTGGCTGAACAAGAAAGACCAGGTGAAAATGCCGAAGACGGGATCCTTCAGCGGGGAGAAGTCGAGGAGAGGCTGTGGGGTTTCCTTCTCGGTCGGTGGAAGGGATTTGTGGCTTCTCTTGGCCTCAACGGCTGTTTCTGGTGAGCAGCTCTCCACGGGGGGTTTCTCAAACCCTTCCAAATCCAGTGGATTTACTGGAGCAGACACATCTCTGCCGTGGGGAATCGTGACTCCCTCCGTGGTGGGAAGGTCCTGTGCACCACGGAGCTGTATTTCCCTCTGAGTAGCTCCATCCAAGCATCCACCAGGTGGTTCTGAGTCCTCCTTTGCCATCAAAGACCCATGTTCTTGATTTTCTACAGAGGAACGTTGGGGTCGCCGGGGGCTGTCGGGTCGCAGGAGCATGCTGGAAGGCACGAGGTTTAACATGATGCCTCCAAAAATCAGCAGAGTACCTGAGGGAAGAGAGAAAATGCTTTTTTTTTTCTTGGCCTAGGAGAAGAAGAGCTGTAGGAAATGATCTTTCTAGAATGGGGTGTAGTTTGTACTGAATGTGGAGAAAGCTCTGGTGTAAGGAAGAGGTCTCTTACAGGAGCTTTTATTCCTGGTTTTCCAGCTGGAAATTCTTTTTGGTGTGATGCAGGCAACAAATCCCGAGCTACCTTTGGGATCTGGGAGTTTGTTTAATTTTCCCTCCTTAGGAATCCGTTTCACATCGTGGCCCTTCAAGGTGGCCTTGGACCAGTGTGGTAAAAGTAGGGATTTTTCGGTTTTGGTTTTGGTTTCTGAGGGCTCTGTTTTGATGCTGACTTCACTTCAATGACTGATGAAGTGTTTAATCATTAACAAGATGTCCCCAAACTCTCCTAAAAAGAGAGAGGGTTGTTCCTGGGTGCGTCCAATTTTTAATTTTTCAAAAAGACCCTCTTTGCCCTGCCTGGAGATCCTCGAACACCCTCTTAACGCTGATGAATCTAAGATGCTCTCACCTTGCCAACCGTAAAAATCGAGGAGGAGCTGAGTGAAGGGGGCGATGAGGAAGGTCAGCCCCATCCCGGAGCGGGCGATGGCGTTGGAGAAGGCCAACCGTGTCCTGCAACGCTTGGCCGTCATCACCGCCGCCGCCTGGTACAGGCAGGCGAACCCCAAACCTACAACAAGGGCAGAAATAAGATATCCAGCCCCCCCAAAAAGTGACTTGCTTCATATCATGAGCCTTAGAGGTTCAAAGTCAAGCCGTCCCAAGCTCGTTGTCCCCCATAGAAGAGCTGCTTTGCAGGGTTTGAGGGTTGAAAGTGAGGGATTTTGCTGTAGCAGTTAGTGGAGAATAAGATTCCGTGCGTGGTATTTAGCACCAGGGGGGGTTGAGACCCTGCACTTTGAGTAAGGGATTTTAAAAGGCCAGGATTCGTGTCGGGTCCAGAAAAAAAAAGCAAAGTTTATTGGGCGTAAGGGATTTTAAAAGGCCAGGATTCGTGTTGGGTCCAGAAAAAAAAAAGCAAAGTTTCTTGGGTCTAGCATGTGGAAACTGGTATTTTATGCTCCTGAGCGTATGAAGCTTGAGGGTTTCACACAACATAGAATCATGGAATTGTTTGGGTTGGAAGGGACCTTAAAGATCATCAAGTTCCAACCCCCCCTGCCCTGGGCAGGGACACCTCCCACCAGCCCAGGTTGCTCCAAGCCCCCTCCAACCTGCCCTTGAACCCCTCCAGGGATGGGGCAGCCACAGCTTCTCTGGGCAACCTGGGCCAGGCTCTCACCACCCTCACACCAAAGAAGTTCTTCCCCACATCTCAGCTCCATCTCCCCTCTTTCAGGGTCAAACCCTTCCCCCTCCTCCTGTGGCTCCCCTCCCTGATCCAGAGTCCCTCCCCAGCTTTCCTGGAGCCCCTTGAGGGACTGGAAGGGGCTCCAAGGTCTCCCTGGAGCCTTCTCTTCTCCAGGCTGAACCCCCCAACTTTCTCAGCCCCCCTTCAAGCATCTCTGTGTCCCCTTCTGGCCCCGCTCCAACAGCTCCATGTCCTTCCTGCGCCGATCTCATCGTAAGGAGCTGGGGATGTTTTGCTGTTGAAGGAACCACCTGGTTTAACGTGAAAGGACAATCCTCGTGCGCAGGACAATCTCCGCCCGACCGCGGGTCGCTCACCCAGGAGGAGTCCCATGGAGACGCAGAGGAAGGGGACGCTGGTGGCCTGTGTGCTCAGCAGGCAGCCCCCTCCCACCAGGCCGGCCCCGATGATGGAGGTCGGCCGCTCGCCCAACTTCCTGCAGACCACGGCCACGAGCGGGGCTGGAAGGGAAAGGAGGGAGATATCTGGAGGGGGTCCAGAGAAGGGCAACGAAGCTGGTGAGGGATCTGGAGAGTAAGTCTCCTGAGGAGAGGCTGAGGGAGCTGGGGGTGTTCAGTCTGAGGAAGAGGAGGCTGAGGGGAGACCTTCTCGCGCTCTATAACTACCTGAAGGGGGGTGTAGAGAAGCGGGGGTCGGTCTCGTCTCCCAAGTCACAGGAGATAGGACAAGGGGAAATGGCCTCAAGTTGCACCAGGGAAGGTTTAGATTGGATATTAGGAAACATTTCTTCATAGAAAGGGTTCTCCAGCATTGGAATGGGCTGCCCAGGGAAGGGGTTGAGGCACCATCCCTGGAGGTGTTCAAAAGACGGGTTGACATGGTCCTCAGGAATATGGTTTAGTGATTTTATTTTTTTTTTTTAATTGCTTATTTCTCATTAATTTTTTTTTTGTCAGAGTTAGGTTGATGGTTGGACTAGATGACCTTTAAGGTCCCTTCCAACCTAGATGATTCTATGATTCTATGATCTCACGGTGAAGATGCCCAATGATGCTTTGCAGGGCTTGGGGACTTGTAGTAGGGTCAGTTCATCTGGTGTCACCGTGAGTGCCCTGTGTGCCACCCCAGGAGGGAGGGGGTGACATGAGAGATTTGGAATGGATTAATATTCTGGAGAGCAGTCAAGAGACCTTGCCTCCTACTCTGGGAGCTCAGGGGATGGGGCTGGGGGGGAACAAAGCCCAAACTTTTGGATCATAGAATGATTTGAGTTGGAAGGGACCTTAAAGCCCACCCAGTGCCACCCCCTGCCCTGGGCAGGGACACCTCCCACCTGCCCAGGATGCTCCAAGCCCCCTCCAACCTGGCCTTGAACCACTCTAGGGATGGGGCAGCCACAGCTTCTCTGGGCAACCTGGGCCAGGCTCTCACCACCCTCAACCTGCTTCCTAACGCCCACCATGCTCAGTGGCCATGAGTTACTCAGCAGCTGGTTTGCTGGGAGGCAAAAATATTGGCATTAGGGGTGAGCCTTTGGTCTGAATGTGTGTAATAAACCCAGTAGGTTTATTTTGAGGTGTGACACCGGTGATTCCTGTCTTTGGCCCATTCTCCTGCTGAAACACGTGTGGGTGTCCGTGCAGCAGACTGAGATGGATATTGATCAGATCTGGAGAACATCCCCAGGGCCCCTTATATCAAATGGGCTTGAGGTTGAGGAGCTGCCCCCACCCTTACGGCCACCCCCTCACCTCCTAAGAAGCGCAGGGAGGACATGATGGAGCCGATCCAGCTGACCTGCTCCGAGGAACCCCCCACCTCCTCTTGGAAAGCCACGAAGAAAATCCCAAAGGTCTTGAGCATCCCCATCACCAGGACGTTGACCTGAACGGGAAGCGGACGGAGGTAAGATGCCAAAGGAGTCAGGCAAGGGGAAAAAGCTTTTCCTTCTGCTTTTCTTGTGTGGGCAATTTGTTGTGTTTGGGGAGAAACAAACTGGGACACGTTAATTGGTGTTGGGGGGTATCAGCAGGGTGGACTGGTGGTGACCACACTGCGGTTTAGTAACAAACTCTCAAAAAGATGTTTGTCCAAACTGGCTTTTGTGAAGAAAAGGAACAAAATAACTCTAGAGCCTGACTCTTCCAGGTTGTTTTTTTGTTCCTAAGTTATTTTTTAATACTAAAAAATAATCTAAACGTGTCTTGGCGCTCTGAGGGATTGCTCGCAGCTGATGGGGGGTTGAACGGGGATGGACATTAGCCGGAGCGGTTTCCCAGGCTTGTCCTGCCACGGGGGCAAAGGACAGGTTGTGTCCTTAATTTTAACTCCCTCCCCCCTCCCCGGTCGTGGGAGGTTAATGTTTGGCAGCGAGTTACTCGGGATGGAGGGGAAGTGGAGAAAGCTTTCCTGTGCTTCCCAGTTTGCCTCGCTGGAGGATGGCGTTGCCTTCGTCCCTGATGGGAAGGTGGTGTGGGGTTTTAGAGCCTGTGACATGGAGAATTAGTGTCTTTGAGTGGTGTCAAGGTGCTTGGTCCTCCCAGGAGAGAGTAACCGAGTGTGTGTGTGCTGCCTGCACCTGCAATCAATTCCTGGGGACCCATCTTTGCTCCGATCCTTGGCTTCCCAAGGTGGGATCTCACCCTCATCAGAGGTAGAAGACACCCCTTTGGGGTGTGACACCCCAGTGGTGGTGGGTATGAGTAGGGAAAAGTCACCTCATCCTTCCAAGCTGCCTTTTGGCCCTGGGCTGCAGGTTGGGGGCCTTCATTTATACCTCACCCAGATGTTTTCAGGTGGCATTTGTGGAGGGGAAGGTGTGTCTCTGCTCAAAGCTGCCTTTTGGCCCTGGGCTGCAGGTTGGGGGCCTTCATTTATACCTCACCCAGATGTTTTCAGGTGGCATTTGTGGAGGGGAAGGTGTGTCTCTGCTCAGCCCCTGGTGAAACGGGCGATGGCAAAGCACGGCTGATTTTTGCCTGTAGCTTGGTGGGATCAGCCTGTCCTGTCCTCTGCTCCGCAGGGATGAGACTGGAGACTTTCTATCCACCCCAGCCCCAGGAGGGTTTAGGTGACCATGTTCTCTGCTTACCAGGAAGAAGTGAAACACCACTCCCCATGCCCACCCTCCTGCAGAGCCTGGGCTCTTCCTGGCTGCCGGAGCCTCCAGCTCTTCCTCCTTCCTTTCCCCTGGAAATGAGAATTTCAGGACACGTTAACACCTTGCTCCGTTGCTGTTGCAATTCAAAAACTGCTCCCGTGACAGCAGCAGCTGCCTTTGAGCCCTTTACCTCCTTTGCTGTTAATAAATAGTGGCGTTATTCAGCTTACAGGGGTTTTTCAGGGTGGGCAAAGCTTTTCCCAACCGTTTTGCCAACAGATGTTACTTTGGACACAATTAAACTGTTTGTAGGCAGTGATATCCTTTCTCTTTCCCACCAAATTACTTAAGCTTGAAGGGATTTAGGCGAGCAGCACCTCAACTGCTGCTGTAGAGCGGGCATTTTGGTTGGTTTGTGCCGAAAATTGGGGGGTTCAGGGTCTGTATCCGTCTGTGAGCTCCCCTGGGAAACTCTCCATTCCTCCTCTTCCTCTGCTCATCTCCCGACCCTCCTCTTGCCCATCCCACACCTCTGGCAGCAGCTGGATCCTGCCCGAGGGAGCAGCGGGACCCTGGAGCAGCTGGGGATGAGGAACCTGAAACTTTTCCTTACCGCCTCGCTGCTCCATCCTGGAAAATCCTCCCCGAAACAGTCGGTTGCAAAGAGGAATCGTCTCTTCATTTGCTCCAGAGACTAAATCCCCCCTTCCTGACTTGGCACCCCAAAGCCTGCTCCCTCATTCACCCCCACTGAGGATGTCAGTGTCCGTTCTTCCCGACGAGCCCTGAAGTGAGACATGGAACCCGGCAAACGCTGGAGCTGCGTGGCCAGAGCCCGTCCTCCTCCTCCTCCTCCTCCTCCCCGGAGGCAGAGCCCGGCTTGCGGGGGCCCCAGGGCCAGGAGTCCCTCCCCTTCCCAAGCCGGGAGCAGGAAACCCAGGGCTTTGAGAGCAGAAATCCTATTGGGAAAGGAAAAGAGGAGGGGAAGCCTTCAAGGGTTATAGCTCCAGGTGAAGCCTGGGGTCTTTCGAGACGTTGGTGGCAATGGTGGGGAGGAGAGCCCCCGTCCCTGCCTGCGTGGCCCTTGGCCCAGGAAACTGCATGGTTTAGGAGGGGAATAGTCTGAAAAGCTTGAGTTTTTTCCAGCTAAGATGCTCGGAGCAGAGCAACCCTTGAGCAGAGCTGGCGGTGGAGCGGGGTTTGAGTTGGCTCCGTGCCTCCATTGTAAATACACACAAGCTCCTGGGTAAATACAGCCCTCACGCTTCCTCCCCCCCCTCCACAACCCCGTTTCGGCTGACCTGTCACCCCCAGACAGCATTCCTGAGGGCAGATAAAACTGTGGGATCCTGACACCCATCTCTGCTCCCCTCCCTTGGCAGAGAAGGCACCGGTCCCCCCCGACTGCAGGAGCCCAGGAGGTACCAGAGCCCGTGGAGGAGCTTTCCCTGCAGTCAGACTTTTAATAGGTGCATTAAGCTTTTATTTAAGTGGAATGGTTTTTGCAGCGAGTACAATTTGAAGGATGGTTTGGGGGGGGATTGGCAGGGGGTTGCTGGGGAGGAGGCAGCATCTTGGAGCTGTCGGATGTCTGGGAGGAGAAACTCTGGCTTGAGCTGCTCCCAGCCCCGGGGGCTGGTGGGGAGAGGGGACATGGGGACCCCTCAACACCCCCACAGAGCTTGGACGCATCAAGACCTGTCGTTGGGCAGAATTAATGTCATTATGCAGAATTAACACCGACCTGGACAGATGAGGGGGCCCAGACAAGCAGGATGGGCTTGTCCCCACTGCCCCTTTCACACACGGCAACGGCTGCCAGACTGTGACCATCAAAGCAGCCCGAATGTCATTTTTTTCCCCTGATCCAGCCCAATTTGTGAGCTCCTGCTCAGCTGTGACGCTTCCCTCCCCCTCCACACGCACACACAGCTGGAGCCCACCTCCTTTTTACTCCCTTACCCATAGGAAGCGTGGGGGTGCAGCAGATTTTCAAGGGGAGGGAAAAAAAAACCTTTCCCCAGGGTTGGTTCCCTGCCCAAATCTGTGAGGAGGGGGGAGGCCAGGATTTGTGAGGATGTTAAAAAATCCCTTCACAGTTCACAGAGGGACCAGGCAGGGCCGACACGTTTAGGTTTGAACTTCAATCCAAGGCAGAGTAAGCCAGTAACTCTCAGACCCAATGTTTAACTGGGAAAGGTTAAACATTTCCCAGGAGAAATTCCTCGGGAGGTGCTTTTCCACTGGAGGAGCCTCCGTTAATTCAAACCTTGGTGCACTGCTCCTTTTCCCTGGAGAAATGCTAATAAGAATTTGGGAGAAGTATGGAAACAAGGCAAAGCAACGGGCAACAGTTTTCACAGAGCACAGAGAAGCAAAAGTGTGTTTTTGCAGGTCATTTATTGATTTCTCCGACAAATAAGGCCAAAGCAACGGGCAACAGTTTTCACAGAGCAAAGAGAAGCAAAAGTGTGGTTTTGCAGGTCATTTATTGATTTCTCTGACAAATAAGGCCACACACATACACCCCCCCACACACACACACCTCGTACTATCATCTGATCATCACCCGAGCCTGGTGAGTGACCTGCGTTTCATCCTCAGCAGATTAAGTACTAAAAATGTGAGTTGGAGACCCTGATAGCTGCACGGGAGCTGTTAAGTGGAGAGGGAGAGCTTTTAGCTCAGGTTTGGGATTAGGAGCACGTTCCACGCCGGAGCAGCAGAGGGAAGTGGGGGTCTTTGTGAGGAGAAGCTGGGCTGGAGTAGGGACTGGAGCTCTGAGCAGGTTCCTGAGGGTCAGGATGCCAATTTGTGCACTGCTACGGTGATGCTGTCGTGCTTCTGGATCATGATATTCCTAGAACAAGAAGGAATGAGGTGGTTGAGAAGCCAGGGAGGAGGAGGAGGGTGGGAAGCTGGACAGGGGTGTCACTGTGTGGCTGCAGCATCCCCAGCTCTGCACTAAACCTGTCACTCGCTGCGTCCCTTCTGCCCACTCCCACAAGAAGTCTCTGCCTTCCACGCTGACCAGCTGCAGCCTGGGCTTAATTAGCCCAAGTGGGGAAGAAGTACTGAGATGCAGTAGCCATCATGCTCTGAAAGGTTTCCTGCAACTCCCTGAGGTGCCACTAAACTCATAGATTACACCTTATATAGACACACCACCTTGGAGCCCCTTCCAGTCCCTAAAGTTGCTCCAGAAAAGCTGGGGAGGGACTCTTGAGAGAGGGAAGCCACAGGAGGAGGGGGAAGGGTTTGACCCTGAAAGAGGGGAGATGGAGATGAGATGTGGGGAAGAACTTGTTTGGTGGGAGGGTGGTGAGAGCCTGGCCCAGGTTGCCCCGAGAAGCTGTGGCTGCCCCATCCCTGGAGGGGTTCAAGGGCAGGTTGGAGGGGGCTTTGGGCAACCTGGTCTCATTGAAGATGTCCCAGCCACTAGAAGGGATGGAACTGGATAAACTTTAAGGTCCCTTCCAACCCAAAACGTGCTGTGATTCTCTGGCGATTCCACCCCTTCCCTGGGTTGGAGGGGACCTTTAAGTTCATCAAGGCCAACCATCAACCCAACACCAACCAACCCACCACTGACCCGTGTCCCTCAGCAACGGCTTTTAGATCCCTCCAGGGATGGTATTTGGGGAGGGGAGCCATAGGACGAGGGGGAAGGGTTTTAAACCAAAAATTAGGAGATTGAGCTGAGATGTGGGGCAGAAATCCTTTGGTGTGAGGGTGGTGAGAGCCTGGCCCAGGTTGCCCAGAGAAGCTGTGGCTGCCCCATCCCTGGAGGGGTTCAAGGGCAGGTTGGAAGGGGCTTGGAGCAACCTGGGCTGGTGGGAGGTGTCCCTGCCCAGGGCAGGGGGTGGCACTGGGGGGGCTTTAAGCTCCCTTCCAACCCAAACCATTCCATGATTCCATGAATTCACGTGCCTATGGCAGTGACTACCTTGCCCCCAAGGCTTCAGAGATGGGGCTTCTTCCACATCTACCAGTTTAGCTCGAGGTAGAGCTGCTCTTGGAATCGGACTCTGGGGAGGGCCCCAGGGCTGGGGGGAAAAGGTAAACAGGGGGGAAAAGCTTGATCCCACCCCCCCGTTGGACGCTCACCCGCTGTCTGACTCCAAGCACACCACGGGCGTATCGGTGGGGTCAGAGGTGAGCTTGGCTGCCTGCTGGGCGAGGACGGAGATGACGCCGGCGTGCTCATCTGAGAGGGTTCCTCGGCCTGGGAGAGGTTGGAAACGTTGGCTGAAGCCATGGGGGCCATGACAGCCAAGGGGGGCTGCTCCTGCCGGGGCCCTTTGCGCCTCCCCTGGGGCCTGACGCAGCTTCTCCCCGAAGTGTTGCCCTCAAACCACCGTTTTTGGCCTCGATTTAAGGGGCAGGAAGAGCTGATGGGAGTTTTTCCTCCCATATTGGGGGGAATGCAGAGTACCACGGTGCAGGAGGGGGGACATAGGGATCTTGGGGACCCCCCTGGAGCAGGCTGGGAGGGGAAAGGCCGCAGAAGCACCCCTAAACCTGGAGATCTCCCACAAGCAGGGCCCGGTGCCCCCAAACTGTGCGTGGGAGGCCCCTGCACAGACCAGGCCTAGTGCCCCCAAATCGGGAGGGGTCCCACAGGGCCGGGCCCGATGTCCCCGGACCGGGAGAGCTCCCGCAGGCCCGGCCCCGGTGTCCCCCGACCCCCCCCCAGAGTCCTTACAGGGCCTAGACCGGCCCCGGTAACCCCCACCCTGGGATTTGCGGTGGGGGAGGCCCCACTTAAGCCTTCCCCAACCCCTCCCCGCGGTGCTCCGTTACTTACAGCCCAGGTTGAGCCCCTG